GTATTGCTTGAACCGAATTATAAGTTGGGAACCGATGATGGCTTAAGTATAGCGCAAACTATACCCAGAATTGTCAACATTGCAGGCCATTGTCCGCCCAACCCGGGGAACAGTAGCCAAAGGGGTCTCAAACCCTTGCCTTTCAAAACTCCCATCTGTTTCTTGTATTCGTATTTTATTTCATTGTTTTCTTCATTCATTTTCTTTATTATAATCGATCCTAAAATATATAACATTTAATATCAAACAACTAATAAAATATGTAATACCTCTATTAGGCATCCCCGATGAATTTACTGCAGGAATGGATTTCATAGTATCTGACAAAAGTGCCAAAAAATCATTTGTGATTTTCGTGGTATTGTTTTCAATGAAATCCATGATATGTTTAACTGATTGCTGAGTTCGGCCGCAAATGTTGACAATTCTGGGTATAGTTTGCGCTATACTTAAGCCATCATCGGTTCCCAACTTATAATTCGGTTCAAGCAATACGTGAGCGTTTGAACCGCCGATACCAAAGTTGTTAACCCCTGCCAATCCTATATTAAATTATTTAGTAAGTTTAGTAATACGAACATTATACAATGCTTGCACCCACACACACACACAGCATACCTGGCTGATACGGGTATTTCTCTTGAATTGCCAGCAATGGTGGGAAATACTGAGCGATTTCATCCTTAATAGTGTTGAGGTTAATGTTCGGAGGAATGCATTCGTTTTCATAAGATATCAATATCTTGATGACCGACGCGACCCCTGAACCGGCCTCCGCGTGACCCATATTGCTCTTCAGCACCCCTATAGGCAATGGATCCGTACGTCCCGTAGACTTACAATAAGCGTTGTAAATGGCTTTGATTTCTTGCGGATCTCCGGCCTATAAAAACATTATTAATCAAATAATATGAGAAAGCTTATTTATATGAAAAACTAAATTATATTCGTTAGTATAGTAAATATTTAATATATTGTATATGAATGAATATTGTTGATTTCTAGAATTTATTCAAAACTACTTCACATACTTTATGTTACTTCAATTATAAAAGATTATTTTTAAAAAAGTTATGAAAAAAGTTACAAATAATTTTTGTCTATTTTTATATAAATACATAAAATGTGATTCAACAAAATTGTTATCACTATAAATGAGAAACTAATTCAATTACTTTACTTTATTAATTTTTGTATAAATTATAATTGTAAGCTGCACGTTATACCTTGGTCCCGGTGGCGTGACATTCAAAATAGGTCATGTCACGTGGATCAATTTTAGCATCCTCGTACGACATCATCATGAGCTGTTCGTGTGCCTCACTAGACGGGAAAAACATGCCTAAACAAAGTAACCATGATATAAATTAAAATTTATAAAAAATAAATTGCATTTCACTGGCATATTTGATATGGTTATGGAAAATTGTGTAGTATATAGATTTATATACTACGAGTGCCAATTTAATTTAAAAGTGCTAACTAGTGGTGAAACACTTACAAATTATTTTTTAGGACTCACAACCCTAGTGTTAGGTTTCTCTATTAGTTTCTCAATTTAGGTTTATAATGAAATACTTAGAACTAGTGTTGTGAGACATGCATTAATTTGTAAAAATTTTACAACACTAGTTAGCATTTTTTTGCACGCAATGGCACTCGTAGTCCTACGGTGAGCTGGCTTACCCATCTTTTTGTGTCCGTCCACATTCATACGAGCGCTGCGTACGTGAGCGTAGTTACGGCGCGCATCTCGGCGTCGCTGTAGGAATAGACAGCACACGGCCTCCCCTTTCACGAAGCCGTCGGCCTTCTGGTCCAAGACGGCCGACACACCCCGGGGTGAACACACAGACAACTCCTGTTGGTATTGGCTTATAAACGGCTCGAACAACATATGAGTGCCGCACACTATGGCCGAATCAGTATAACCTAAGCATGGTCATTTATATAAATACTAGATGTGAGACATTGAAAACTTAGTAAGTGTAGACAAAAACTTTTCAATTAACAGCTTACTCATATATTTTGTATTTATAAAAGTATTTTTAAAAAACAATAATTCTAATATTTATTAGGAATCATTTATATCACCAAAGTGTACTAGCATCATATCTTAAAATAGTATTCATTTGACTTATGAGCTAATAATAATTTTAGCGTACAAAACTTTGTAACGCATTGTTTTAATTGTAAATAGTTTCAATTGACCATTGTTTTAAAACAAAAAATATTAAGCTGTAATTCAAAACACTAGTTATTCAAAAACAACGTACCGAGTTTGAGGTCGTTATAGGCCAGACACATAGCGCTGAGACTGGCCGAGCAGGCGGTGTCCACTATCATCGACGGCCCCTTGAAGTCGTTGGCAAAGGATATACGGCTGGCGTAGAAGGTCTTCATGTTTGAGAGGTTCTGCAACATAACAGTCTTCAGGTTCTCCCGGGAGTCCGGCTGAACGTCCTCCGGGTAGCCATCGGTCATGGCGTACTGGGACACACCCACGTACACCCCTGTCCTACTGCCACGTAATGTTTGTGGATTCAAACCTTATGGATAACATGATTATTTAAACATCAATATCTGTTGCTAGAAAATAAAGTTAGATTTATGAAATACCGATAATTTGATATTTTTTGTAAGATTTAGTGTATACAAATCTATGTTAAAAATTTTACAAAAAGTACTAAATTTTCGGTATTTCATAAGTGTATTTTTGTTTTCTAAAATCAGATATATAGACGCAATGTACATTTTAATAGTAACTAATTTAAAATATATTTGTTATTTTATCAAGCTCAATAACAAAACAAATTCAAATGTACTAGAAATTTCTAGTAAACAATTAATTAAACTATTAAATTTTTATTCTAGATACTGCTAACTATAAATATGTTATGGAAAATTTAATTAACTTTTAAGTTAGCCACTACAAAATTCTACAGGTATCACATTGATTGTTTAAATAAAAATCACAAATTAAATAATATACTGATAAATTTATATGATATGTAAATAATATATTTAAAACAACAACATACCGGCGTCCAACATGGCCTCATAGGATACCTCCAAAAGCATGCGGGACTGGGGGTCGATCTCATCCACCATCTGCTCCATGAGCCCGAAGAATGACGAATCAAAATGTTTGTAGTCATCAATCTTTCCCATTCGGTTCGATATATCGTATAAACCTTTTTTTTGGGCATGGTCATATAAATATTTTCTGCTTTTTATATTTATAATTATGCTTATTTTGTTAAATAATCTAGAAATTTTATATAATAATATAATATTTCAAGCGAATAGGCTGTTTAACATAATACAGAATATACAGCATAATATGGATAATTATCACAAACTATGTATAAAATTTAATAATTTAATAAAAATAACAGTAACTAGCTAACAGTTTCTATAATTAGTTTAGTATCCGCTAACAATCAGTAGTATATTTAAATTTAACAAGATTAATTTTAATAATTTTCGATATTGAATATGTTTAAAATGAACTTTTTAAATATGTCATTATTTCGCCACTAATTACAAACATTAATTTCAACATAGATTACGAGTGTTTAAATCTATGAATGTCTTACCCATTAGCCATCGACTGTCGTCGTCGGTAACCATATCGATGCCATCGAACAGATTCTTCGCGAACTCGTCGGTGTTGGCCGAGAGGGGGAACCGACCGCTCATTCCCGACACTAGTATATCGTCGGCCGACATGACTGTCCACTCGCTAAAAGTTTACGATTTATTTAATTAACAAAATTTATGTAATGTTAATAAAAGTTTTAAAACTTTTGCTAAAAACGCATCGATTCTATACAGAAACTCTTTATAATTAATATATTTATTAAAACCTCATAAATAATACTTTATTTAACGTTCAAAGTTTTATTTTCAACAATTATTTTTAATAAATCAATAGAGTTTACAAGTAATATAAGATTTATTATTGGTAAAACTATATAAATGAGGTTTGTGGTTTATAGCCATGGCTTATATAGATTTTGGTGAAAGAACATGTATAGTTTTTTCTAATTCCCAATAAATATACGAAATGTTCATAAGTTTTTACAAATATTATATAATTAGTTAATTCTGTATAAATCTATATAAATAGCAAATATTACTTAATTATGGTTCAAATTCAAATAAAACTTGAAAATTTTTGTTTTGTAAGACAATGTAATAAAAAATACTTTATTTACGCGTTTACTAATTACGGTCAGGATAAGCATGGTATGCATAATATGTTTAATAAATTGTTTAACATCACGATTTTTAAATTAATTAAATGTCTATTAACTAATTTTAAATCCTTTATGTATTATGTTAATTATTTATGATGAAAATTATTTAAATGCTATAATCACAATAAATTATAACAATTATCACACTCATACATTTCTTAGTAAAATTTATAATTAAATTATATTATTAATTTTATTTTGCAATTTAATTTAAAATCCTTACCCGTAAATACATGCAAAACATAAATTGTTTCATTAATAAATTAATTGAAAACACCCATTTAATCAAAACTTCACAAATATTCACATAAATTCAATAGCTTATCATATTTATAAATTTGCCAGTTAAATTAATAATAGTAATCAAATAATAGCAATTATTTTTAACAATTTAAATAAATATTTCCATGTAAGTAACACTATTTAAACTAATGTATTAAATAAATATTACTATAATTATTTAATATAATACACAAACAAATTAAAATTAGCAAATATGTTGTACATTTAAATTAATTATACAATCGTGATAATAAAACAATTTCTTAAACAAACCTTTATAGAGAAGTCATTATAATATTACACTAAGAATTAGACTTTAATTAATGTTTTCAATTTTGAATTCACAAAAAAAAAGTTAAGTTATGATAAAAATAGACATAGTTTTTAAATAAATTTATGTATAATTTATTTTTTGAATGGTTTACGAAATGTTAAATCAAATTATAAAATATAATTACTAGTATTTAGTAAATATTATTGATTTGACTAAAAATTTTTCTAAGAAAAATATTATAATTATATACTAATTGTTTATCATTTTTAGTAATTGTGACATTTAAATAAATTTTATCATAACGATTTAATATAATACATAATCAAATTAAAATTAGCCAATAATTTAAATTAATTTTTAAATCGTGATAATAAAACCATTTATTAAACAGACTTTGATTGATAAATTCATTATTATTATATAATATTCTGAGAATTAGATTCTAATTAATAATATTGGTTTATTTATTACCTCTGACAATTATATGAACAACCATAATTATTTATTTGATTTTGTTCATATTTAAATGTACATATTAAACAATTAATGCATTTATTTTAATGTTAGCAATTATATTGGTGTTTGTGGAAATTACTTGGAAAAGTAAGAAATAACAAATACTTACAAAATATAAACAAATTAATTGTATTTTATAATAACGTTTTGTGATTTACAGCTAATATACAGGTGAATATACTGCAGCCAATAAAAGGGAACTTAGTATTCAGTGAATATTATTGAACGCAATGGCAATGAATTGTTTGAAAATTTGATTTCATATAAAAGTCAATTTAAATTCTTTAAATAAATTTATTTTCATTAAATTCATGAATGATAACTCAAACCAATAGTCCTTTTTGTAGGAATGGCTGCCAAAATGATAGCAGTGATAGGCGCCGGAAACTCAGGTATGGGTGCATTCAATGCTT